GCATCTACATCTAAAGGAGTGAATGGATTTTCATTCAGGGTCAGCATGTTCTTTGAGCTTCATTTCACTTTGTAGAAAAGGGATTCTGCGTAAAGCCACATTAAGTGGTTTACAATGCCATCTGGAGCATTTTCCCTTGCGATTGAATATGTCAATATTTGATCTTTAATTCTTTGTGCAAAGCAAAGATGATAAACACACTCTGCTGCATGCTATTTGTTCTTCACTGGCCTCGCTAATTAAAGAAATATTGAACTCAATCTCAGAAAAAACAATGTATGATAGATTTAACAACTTTGTATTAACTCTGCCCCTACATTAATTTCACTATTGACATTTTATATTAAACCAAATGAGTGCTGAGGGTTTTGATGGGTGTATGTAACAGCTGCAATAATTCAGGTAAATCAGAATTCTTTCAGATGCTACCAAGACACTGACTATTTACTAGAGAATCCAAACAACAGATTTATTTAACATTAGTTAGTTTCACTATAGGAATGCATAATATCATTCTTGTCCAAGTGTTGTGAATTTAAAGCACAAAGGAAATTAAACTTTTGTACTTTATTAAATTAAATTATTAATTATTTACTAAATGATGAGCACTGAGTATCAAAAATCTAGAACAAATGGCCAAACCAACACCCACATAATAAACTGTAACTAATAAAAACAGGTAACATCTTGTTTACAAAAGGGTTTATTTTTCCATTTGTTTAATAAATTTCATCCGCCTTATGGGAAATTAATTTGTCATCTACAGTATACTGCTGCTTTTGTATAAGTGAATAAAATGAGGATGCAAACAAAACAAGCCTTCCCCAGGAAGAACTCACTATTACTTCTGCAATTTCCCTAATGCATCTTATGGTGAAGGCTGCCTTTGTTTCATTGTAAAGCAGCCACACAAGTCAAGTTAACAGTGAGTTGAGAAACCAAACCCTGAACAGTTCATTTCAGGTTCAGTGTTTGTGTGGAGTGGTGCAAGCTGTGGCGCAGGAAACCTTACATGGCCATATCTCACACTCTCTGCCAATGTCTGTCTCACTGTCTCCCTCTCTCTTTTTAAACGGTCTGTCTCTGCCTCTCTCTCATGTCTTGTCTCTGTCACTTTGAGCTATTCCTGGATTCCACACTGAGGTGAAAGGAAACAGGAATGCCTGCAGTGGCTGTTGGTACCAGCATTTTTTTCTCTGCAAAGAGCAGTTCTTCCTCTTGTAACACACACACACACACAATTCCTGTTGATGGCTTTGTTCCTTAGCCGGTTGGGAAGATGTTTCCTCAAACATGTTTGTGTGACGAAAGCCATTCCTGTTCCTGCAGATGGAATGTAGGGGGAGTGTGTATTTGGATGTGTGCTTGGCAAACAACAGTTAAAAATGAGATACGGTCCGCTGCATGGATCTGAGTCAGGAGGGTGCAGATGTGTTTTTTTATTATTGCCATGTGGAATATTCAAAACAGTAGCACACTCTCTGCTATCTGCCCTTTGTTCAGTCTCTTCTGCACCACGGAGACTCCCTGTTGTGCTTACTGGAACCTTGGCAGCCAGTTGCCATATCGGCCAATTACAGAAGCTTTTACTAAAGCTCCAGCCAATTGGATTAGTGCTACATTTCCTTGCCAGATGAGACTCTAAATGTGCTGCTGTATGCTAGAATTTGAGAACTAGTGGGCAGCCTCCTGTTTCGCTGACAGGCACTGGGCACCAGAATACACACATGCTGCAGAGGCAGTGGCAGGAGAAAGACACGTCCCGTGACACTACCGAGTATCCTCTGCTACTGAGGTTGTGTGTGTGAAATTATAAACTGTTTAAACCAAGAACATAACATAAAGCAAACCAGAACCCAAGCAGCCGAGGGACCATGCTGCTGCTCCCAGGCGTACATAAGACAGACACCGCTTACACATGGATGGGTTTGTAGAAAAAAAGATACATACAGAGAGGACAGCCAGCAGGCAGATGAGTGGAAGAAGACAAAGTAAAGAGGGACAGAGACCAGACATTTGAGGAGTTATTCCTAATCAGAAGAGTCCATCTATGGATAGAGTGTGTTTTCTGCTGTACAGGTTGTAAAGCCCTTTGAGGCAAATGTGCGATTTGTGCTTTTGGGCTCTATAAATAAACCGACTAGACTTGGAAAAGAAACTAAATGGTGTTTGTTTACCTGACTGAGTGTGGAATACATTCGAACATATTTAAGTGACAAAACTGTGATATTCTGTTTTGTGGCTGGTATTCAGTTGTCACTCTACTGTGTGTGTGTGTGTGTGTGTGTGTGTGTGTGTGTGTGTGTGTGTGTGTGTGTGTGTGTCTTTGCCATGTATGCTCAGCGTACTGATGAGCTGCTAGTTCTCTATGTGTCCTTAATCTGGGTTTCTGGGCCCAAGTAAGTTCCATTAGTGTAAATGAAATCTACTTCCAAATCCACCGAAGCAATCTAAATCCATCAGTAGTACTTCAGTCACCTGTTTGATACGAGGAAACTCAAACATCCATCCATCCATCCATCCATCCATCATCAACCACTCATCCTGCGTACAGGGTCGCGGGGGGCTGGAGCCAATCCCAGCTGACATCGGGCGCAAGGCGGGTACACCCTGGACAGGTCACCAGTCCATCGCAGGGGAAAATCAAACACCAAAAGATAAATCTAGAACGGTAAAAAGCTCTATTTTACATAAACAAACATCCTACAATTCTGATTGAATATGTTTTTTATATGGATTTGACTTGGGAATGTTTGATTTAACATTTAAGGTCAAAGGCAATAAGTCTTGAATTTATCATGTCATCGTTTTTATTTTTAGATGTGTGTAATTCAATGTCTGCTTTCTCCTAATGTCAGATATACTAAACATTAATAAATAATGCACTAAGTCAAAGACTGAAATCTATGTCTGCCTTATTTGTAAGTGTAAGAGAACAAAGAAATTAAAACAAATGGCTAGAGATGCCAAGGGAAATGATAAAAGAAATCCAAAAAACAAAACCAAGAAATGCAAAAAACAAAACAAAGAATGAAGGTTAATAGAAAAAGATTTGCCCAAAGAAATGAGGAGAAATCAAATAATTAAAACAATGCTTGAATGCTATCTGTTTTGACGAGTCTGTCTCTTTTGGTACTGAAAGAGACAGACTCGTCAAAACAGATAGTTCGTATAATACCAGCTCCCCTCCCTCTCATACTCTTATCTCGTCGATACTGATAGAGTTCACTGGCAAGTCAATGCTTACGAGAAAGAAAGTGCTGTGAAAGTGCTTATGGGGGCCTGAAGCATACACGCTCAACTGCATAGGTACACACACACACACACACACACACACTTTCTAAACCAGCCGTATCCCTGGTACTCTGTTCACTTTGTAGGGATGCTGCTGGATATTTGTCCATTACACTCCATCGCAGAAAAGAGACATAAATGCGCGCACACACACACACACACACGTCAATAAGCAACAATTCAAAATCACTGACAATCTACCAAAAGCAAGGGTATATTAACTCCATCTCTCCCATTCCCCTACGTATTCACAAAGTCTACTGTACGCAGCACAAGAGGAGCATTATATGGCTGTAACAAGCAGCAACTAAAGAAGCCTGTTTCCACTCCATAAATAAACTCTATCTAGGCGAGTGAAGCAATGGCTGGGCATTAAAACAAAGACACCCCGCATTTCTATATAACCAAGGCAGGTGTGGCTGAGTGTGTTTGCAGGGCCACCTGTAGCACATAAAAACAGGGTGGAGCAGGGTGGGACAAACAAAAATAACCCAAAGGCAACAGGCCATTAATCAAGCATGGGGACCACCCGGCAAAAGTAACTGATAAAACCCCCGAAACCAGCACAGACCAATGAGAACCAGTAGATCATGGAGACACCAAATAGACCTATAGCTCAACTAGTCAGTGGATCAATACGGAAACTGCCCACACTTAAAAATCACAAGAGAAATGCTGGCAAATCTACACTTACTGCTGCTTCACCACCAAGAGGAACTGTTTGGAAAGTTTTGCATGATACTGTGCAGGCAAGTAGTTCAGACCTTTGTACACTGGCAAGCAGATATGCCTGTTGTGATTTTAGTTGTCATAAGAATAGGGTGCTCCCTTATGACTTCTTCTGCAGGTTTAGGTATGCCAACAAGCTGGTTCAGCAAGAAGAGTGGGCAGTTCAGCATTTCCTTCTCTCACTGTCATTCACTTGATACCACTCGCGCATGCAAGCCAAACAGAAACAAACACACACACACACACACACACACACACACACACACACACTGAAGGTGTATAGTGTAAGTAAATTACCTCGATGATGAAGGGCTGCGCTTCAATAACTAAGTTTTGGTTCCCTAAAACAGTGATTCGATAAGGTGAAAAGGGGAAGAGAAAACCTTGACGAAACTAGATTGCTAATACAACATAAACAGCTGTCACAACTCAAGAAGCAGGACCTCTAATAACTGAACAAGCGGCGGAAAACACATTTACAAAAAAGGCCTAAATGTGTTTAGGTGCGATCGTTATCTCGCAGCACAGTGCGGAAGTAGCAGACACCTGCTGTAAAAGATGAGCTACAGTCAAACTACCACCTCTGCCCTCCCCATCTATCTTTGAAGTAATTTCCGTTTAGCCTAACTTACTTGATGAAACGTTTACTTTCCTCATGCTGCGAGCAAAACTTTATGGACTCACAACGTCAGTAAAGTAGCCAAACGTTAAACCTTTCATCACCGTATAAAGTTCCTCCTTTTGCTCTCGAAACGGAAAAAAAACGAAAGCAAGGGCTGGGTAAACAGACGAAGAAAGCAATTACAAAGATAAAAAGGTAAAGTAATTCCAAACCACTATGAACCAAAATATTTGCCCAAACTCCTGTTTTATCTCTCTCGAAATGACAGCGCTGCACATGCATAACGTCACAACCTTTCATAAACAGGTACGGGTGAGGAAAAACATAGCTGGAAAGAAAATATCAACAAACTTACGGTGTTAGTAACACGCTGCTGAGTCTGTCACTGCCACCGAAACATAGAACTCCAAAGAGGCAAATATCCGAGCTCAGTCCGGGAAATGAGAGAGCCGATGTAAGCTGTCACCGTCCTGCCGCAGCGAGGACAAGTCGCAGTGTCTTTAACAACCGGGAAAGTGAGCGCGAGCCCGGAGCCGCCTGCTGGTTTCTCTTCTCTCGCACGAGACAAGAGAAATCCCTACAGATGAATGCTGGTGGGAGTGCGCAGGCGCGGACGGGGCCGATTCATTCCGGTGGAGTAGGGCTGTAGCGCTAGTTTATTTTTTTTTAATCATTTTTTCAGGCATTTAAGACTAACAGAAAGGTGAATAAACAACCAGATCTGACTACACTAACACTGTGGGCTGTAGGGAAATTATAAATATATATCTCAAGAGCAGCAGCTAAGGTAGGCCTATTTCCTAATGTAATAAACTATGCACCTATTGATTATTTTCATCATCAATTAACCTGTCGATATTTTTTTCAGATTAATCGATCGTCGTTAAATTGAGGCTATAGGCCTAATGTGTCAGAAAATAGTGAAAATTGTCTGTAAGAGGTTCCCAGAGTCCAAGGAGAGTGTGAAATTGCTTTTTTGTCCTCATATCAAGCATATATTCTAGACAGTTACAGTTCAAATCAGAGGATATCAGGTAATTTGACTTGATACATGACTTAAATGCTTGAATAATGGGGAAAAAACCAAAAATTATTTTCTGGTAGTCAACTAGCCTAATTGATTTTCGACTAATCGGAATAAAAGCAAGAGCACTTTGACTTCTTTGCAGGAACAATAAAAAAGAAACACAAAACCTTTTGATAGCTTAAATTGGAAAAAGTAAAAAATAAAAAACAAACACAGCAGTAGGCTATATCAAGTAAAACTGGGGCGAAATCACGATTAGAAAGAGTCAGTAGCGCATCTTGACCATGACTCCCTCTCCATCCTCAAGTGAAGCGGTAGCTATTCTCTCCCAGACAGTCTTATAAATAATTCAGCAATAAAAGCTTGCCTCTGCTTGCCTGGTTGCATGCAGCACCAAATGGAGTCTCTCACCCTCCCCATTTGCACGGCGTCAATCTATGCGGGCGTTACCAATTAAAACAAATCTCGGAGCAAAATAAAGTTCAATCAACATTTCGCAAATGGCTGCGGCCGGTCAGCCAGATAAGTCAGGGATTACAAGGCTTCTGTCAACTATCAATAGCCTCGTGTGCCTGGGATAGACATGAGGGAGAGAGAAGGTGGGAGGGAGAAGCGGGGTGGATGAGTGTCAATGCGCAGACGGTGCAGAGCAACCAGCCGATGATGCTGCTTGTCCTGTCCGCGGATCGGAGGACAGCAGAGAATCACCCGCAAGCGACGACAAATGTAATCCAAAACATCTTGTCCCAGAGCCCCGCATCTGAACCGCACACTATCCCGACAGTGCTGCTGAGAGGGGGTGAAGGCGGAAAAAGTGTATAGCCGGGAAATAAAGCAATTTACCTGCACACGGATCCAGTTCTGTCTGCTGTTATTACTTCCCACTCAATGTGGCTTTCAGCGCTGCCGCTCACTACGGGCTGCTCTCGGTTGAACGGGAATTTAGACGACGGGATTTGTTCACGTGGTCACGCTCAGTGCTCCTAATTGGTTGAGCGTCTCCAGCCGCTGCTCGATCACACCTGTACGGTGAACTGCAGGGGGAGAGAAAGACAGAAGATAACAGATTGGTGCAGGATATTTCCATGCAATATAGGAATCGCTTCCGCTTTTGCCTTCTCTCGGTGTAGGCTTATCAGATAGCCTAGAGGTAACTAAACCCAGTTATAATAGGCCTATAGTATGGAAATTTGAGGCTTTAGCCTACACATTTCTGAAAACCAAATGGAGTATCTTATACTCTTATATATATAATAAAAGCTCTATGCATTTATGATATAGTGATCAGGTAAATTACTAAAAGTGTACTTTAGCCCTTGCCTTATGAACACAGTCAGATCAGTGTCAGAACTGTTTGAAACTCATGCTTGCTGGCTAAAGTCATGGCAAGCTTAGCCTATATTTTTAGTCATAGTGCAATGTCTGAGTGACATACCATTTGCCCCTTAAAAGTAGATTTTAATCTCAATGAGATTTTCAGAATAAATAAAGCTCAATCTAACAAATGTAGAAAATTACAAATAAAGCTTTGAATAATTCAAATGTGTGGATACTTCAGTTTGGCCTTGAGTGCTGCCTGCTACTGTAAATCATGGTAATAGCAATGACAGATTTGTAGATGAAGCCAGTCTTCACTGTGACATTCACAATATTAGTAACATCTGTCACACATCTGTCATTAGCATGACAGTCGGATTGCCATGGCCCTCTTTTGAATGACACACCAACAGACTAGGGACATATTCGCATTTACAAACCCATAAGAATAACACATGATATAGACACATACACAAGCAAGCATAATCTAACAGTACAACACTGCACTGGCACAGTCACAGACAAATAACGCATTAACACATATTTTCTTGTGTTTATGTCAAAATCTCATTACTAAATGTAACATCACATGGAAAATATCAGTGCTCCCTTGTGAAAGCTGCAGATTTACAGGTTGTCAATGACAGTTGGCGGCAAAATGGTAGGGTACTAACAGTTGGGTGTTCATTCCGCTCTTTTCAGATCTGTGAGCTGTTCAGAGCCACCTGCTCTGAATAGACCTGATCACTAATCTGAATAGCTTTTCATGTAACATTAATTATAGCCAGGTCACTTTTGAACAATCTCTCTGACTATGTTCAAATAGCATGATTACATTTGATTCATTAATTAACATAATAAGTATTTTATATTAATATTTGCAGCTGTCATCTGCCAAATATGTACCTGAAATATGTACTGGATTTACAGTAATGTGTGTAGCCCACTGGTCTGCCTATCACACACACACACACACACACACACACATTGCAATATATTTGAAGAGAGGTTTTAATAGCACATTTGTGACAGAGGCAAACCTCAGTATATAGCCCTTAACCCATTCCCACTTTAGCACATGCGCACAGGCGTACCATACACATGCAGTTTTTCATCTACCTACTGAAGCCACGGTATATAGCAGTCAATGGTGCGGGAGTATTTTTAGATTTCATGTGGGTTGCAGATGCTGCTCCACTGAACCAGGTCACAGCAAATAGAGCAGTGTTTTCACTGTAACATTAAAATCCTTTGACTTCCTCTCAGGTTCCCCATAAATGTTTGCTTTCCCATATTTAGTGTCAGTTTTTTAAAAGAAATTCAAGAGCAAAGATGGTGGTTATCACGTTACTACCTGCACTGCAGCTGTATGTGCTGAATGTGGTTTAGTAAAATATCTAAACTTTGTAATTTCTTCTCTACTCTTCTCTGTGCTAAGATTTTCGTCATTGGTCCTGGCAGATTAGGCCAAGACACTCAACTGGCCCTCAGGCTGTTGGCAGTAATATGGCTCTATGTTTTCCCCTACTCAGTTTTGGCCCAATTTAAAGGCATGTTGGGTTTTTTAGGGCAACATAGGACATTTATAATTGACTACGAGAAATCTGACACACTTTAAGTAGCAACTATCAAAAAAACTGTCAAAAAGAGTGAATCAGCTTGTGAGCTATATATATATATATATATATATATAACCACAGTATAAGCTTAGAAGTTACTCCTGTTTCGAGACTGGAGGGGTTCCCTTGATTTTTAGAGTCAGGGGGTGGAGAGTTATTATGTAGGAGAACAAAAGCTGAAGAGCAGAGAACAGAGCAATCTCCCTCTCCTCCTGTTTCCTTCTATGTGTTCCTTTATCCGCCCCCATCATCTCTCCATCCCCCATCCACACACCAACACAAACGCCTGCCATCTGACACCCCTCTAAGGAGTTCTTATTTTGAGCTGTCTTCTAAAACCCACAGTGAGCACGCACACACACACACACACACACACACACATTGTTTGGTGGTTGTGAGGAGGAGCTCCTATGTTCTCAATCCAAGGCAGAGGAACAGGCCAAATGGCAAAGAGAGAAACAGACGGAAGGACAGAGAGACAGACAGACACCCTTTCTGCGGGTTAATCAGGCCTATGTGCACATCAAGAAAGAGGAAGAAGCAGAAGGATTGAGGGGGACTTTCTGTTGGTGGACCACAGTGTACTGTAGGTCGCAGCATGTGTGTTATCAACCGTTGGTCACTTGGTGTGATGCCACCTGGCTGTCTGACCACAAGCAGGACATGGGGAGTTGGGTGTGTGTGAGTTTAGTGTGTGAGGAGTGTGAGGAGTCTCGCTGGGCCGGACAGAACTTCGACGGGTAGCAGATGGTGGTGCCAGCGTGGCATGGGCAGAAGAGCAAGGTGGACTCACACACATGGATGCACACAGGCTGCCCTGCTTGTGGTCAGGCAGCCAGGGTTGCCAGGAAGAATTTCAATAAAAACTAATCCACCACTCTTTGTACTTTTTTTAGCAACTGTGTAAAGATCTATCCATCTACTTCTGTTTCTTTCATTTTTCTTCCTGCTTATTAGCACCCATTATTATGCCCACCATGGTATTAATTTATTTTCAAATTAAAAAAGTTTCCTCAATATATTATGGTGGAGAGTACATGTCACTGTCAACAAAGGAGTAATCAATCTGTTTAAGTGTCTCTAAATGAATGCCATTCAACACAGAACAATACTGGTGTCAAACAGGTGTTTGGAGTCTTTGTCTGCATTTGTTTTAGCACAGACTAAGTATATTTTTTTAAACAAGATCTTATAATTATACCAGAGGTCCATTATGCACACAAACAAACTCACTCATGTTTGCACATACAGTACACATACATAAACATGATGCACAGGCACACACACTTTCTCATGGGGCTGTGGCTGAGCAGCTGTCTAGGGAGTGGATGACATCTCTATTGTTGAAATCTGATGGATGAGACGGGAGCTTGGACTATGGGCTGGGGGGAAAATTTCTTCTGTCCACATTGTGTACCTTCATTAATGTGGTTGATGGAAAAATGTGTTCTGGAGTGGCTTTTTGAACAAGGATGTCCTTTCCCATCTCATGAAAGGTGAGGACAAGAGTCGCCAAATCGCATGGAATGAGCAGATGATGACGTGACACCTCCACAAAACCGGTATTGTGCATAGAAGATAGA